GGTTACTGTGTAAAGGAGATAGGGCTGGGATTTGATTTTTGTTTCACTCTTGTCGCCCAGGCTGGAGTGCAATGGCGTGATCTCTTCTCACTGCAACCTCCGCCTCCCAGGTTCTAGCAATTCTTCTGCCTCAGCTTCCTGAATAGGTGGGATTACAGGTGCCCGCCACCATGCCCAATCAATTTTTTGTATTTTTAGTAGAGACCAGTTTTCACCATGTTGGCCAGGCTCGTCTCGAACTCCTGACCTCAGGTGATCCACCCGCCTCAGCCTCCCAAAGTGCTGGGATTACAGGCGTGAGCCACCACGCCTGGCACTCTCCTTCTTTATAGATAATAAAATCAAGGTTTAAGCGGTGAAGTGATTTGCAGAAGGGAGATTAGAACCCTTATCTTTCTATGCAAAATCCCTCTGAGATGCTGCACTACAAGCAAGCCGGTTTACTGGAGACTGACTGCTCTAGGCGTCTATGCTTCTTTTGCCTGTCTCCATCCACTGCTTTGTTATCTTTTACCACTTTATTCTTTTTTTTTTCTTTTTTTCTGATTTCTTCCTGGTTCCTTTTCCTGGTCCTTACATCCTTCAGGTCCGACGCTCCTGCAACTTACTGCAAGCCTGGCCCTTTAGATAGGTGCTCATCTGTATCCACGTGTCTCAGGCTGCGAGCAGTTTCCTGATGGAGGTGGGGAGGCTCTGGGATGGAGTCTGGATTCCCTCGAGCTCGGGCACTTGGTTGCTTTCCTGTAGCCCACTTGGGCCGTCTCAGTCTCCCGTTTGAATGGAGAGCACTGCTCCCTGCCCCCTCCGCTTGAGGATGAATTCTGTCAAAAAGAGTTAAAAATTATAGCTGAGCTTAATCTGGATAGAGGTTGGGTCTGCTCATTTGCATATAAGCATCTCCTTCACTCCTAGCCCTGGCAATTTGCATCTTATTATCCAGGTGCATCCTTGGTGATTTCTCCCGAGAATGGTTGGTTGCATTAGGCTGTATCCTTCTTTGGCCCTAAGAGCCTTTCTCCTGCCCTCCTGGCCCCAGTACCCTTGACCTGTCTCTGCAATCACGGCTGCAGGCTGTTTCCCAGGTGCTCAGTGGCCCCCTCTGCAGAGCTGTTTCCAGGACTGACCAGGGAAATTGGAGAGCCAGAACTGGGGGTGAGGGTATGAACACAAAAGGTCTAATGTGTGTTCGTATGTGTATGTATGTGTACACTTGTGAGGTATGAACTTACAAGCATTTGCCTTAACTCCTCTATGCCCTTGTCCCCATCCCAGGTCATCCTTGGGCAGATCCTCTTTTGCTTTGAGACAGAGTTTAATATGCACTTTATGTGATGCCACCGAGGTAAAAGTTTGGGGAGGGGTAAGGGACAGGTTTGGTTTTGTGCTTTATCCCCCATGGCTGCTCCCCAGGTACAGACCCTGGGTCCGAGCCCTCTCGGTGAATCTCTGCTTTTCCTGGTGCTGGTGTCTCCCTAGGGAAGCCAGCCCTGCACCCCTCCCCTTCAGTCCTACCTCTGAGGTCCCAGGCAGTTGTAGTAGGGGACCGGCCACATCCAGGGGTGAGCAGAGGGATCACTCGGAGGGAGGAGAAGACCTTCGTGGAAGGTAGTCAGGGACCTGCCTGTAATGCAATTGCGTGTTGGATTCCCTCCCCTCCATGGCATTGCTTGATGAAGTGAATCAGAACCAGCTCTGCTACTGTAGAGAGTTGCAGGAGAGAGGGTGAAGCACAGTGGGTGGGAAACAGGCCACCAAAGCCAGAGCCTGTGCTGCGTTCACCTGGGGATACAGGGGTAGAGGAGATGGACAGGTGTCTACTGAATGGAACGCACAGTCTGGTGGTTCTCAGACAAGGTCATATGGAGGAGTTAGAAACAGGTGAAGAGGGAGAACTCAGGGCCCTGTGGAAGGCTTCCTGGAGGAGGCGGGCTGAGCCGTGACAAGCCTGCAGTTAGAGATGAGAGAAGGACCCCGAGGCAGGTGCATAGAGGAGGGAAGCCAGGCTGTTTGCATGATGACAGTGGGCCAGGATAGCTGCAGTCTAGAGCCTGAGCAGTGACTAAAAGCTTGGCTGCCTCAGGCAAGGCTCTTGGCTTCTCTGAAGTCAATGTCCTCTATTATGAAATGGGAATGATAGTCCCAACAATCCCTTTCAAAGAGCTTTGGGGAGAATGCAGATGAGACAATGGAAGTGACCAGAGCTGGAGATGGGAGGGAACTGAGAAGCTGAGGGCTGTGTGGAGGCACGGCAGAGGTCGTGCAGGTGCTTGCTTTGGGCCTGAAGCATGGGGCCTGGCTCAGGAGGTAAGGGGAAGGAGGTTCTTCCTAACTGGCTGGTCTTCCGGACCTCAGTGTTTGTTCCTATCTGTCATATGGGGTGGACAATCCCTGGAGTTGTCATGAGAATTAAATTAGATAATGTGTGGGATGCTAATATTGAAAACGAATAAAATGATAGAATGCAACGTGTTATGTTTGTCAGCGGTCTGGAGTAGGAGGGTGGTGAGCAGGGCTGTGTTAGGGCTAGGGGAGGCACTCGAGACCTTGAGGGTGCAGCACTGAAGGAGCAGGTGCAGACCCTGCACAGGCACAGCCCTCAGAGGGAGGGCCTCCTTCACTGCTGCTCTCTGGGTACCTCTCTCATGCTATCCTGGTCTGGGCCCTGGAGGTGCGAGCTGGCCTTCATTCAACTGCAGAGATGGGGACTTTGGGTGGCCAGTGGATTTAATGTTCTTTGAAAAGCTGGATTTATGTTTCTGCAGCCAAGCCCTGCCCGAAGTGATGGCAGCATTCTCACTGGGGTGGTGAGTCCGTTTCACGCGGCAGTTCTCAGAGTGGGTCCCAGAACCTGTAGCATGAGCACCTCCAGGGAACTTGCTAGAAATTCAAATTCTCCACCCCACCCAGACCCACTGAATCAGAAACTGGGGACAGGGCCCAGCAAGCTGGTTTTTTGTTGTTGTTGTTGTTGTTTTGAGGCAGAGTCTTGCTCTGTTGCCCAGGCCGGAGTGCAGTGGTACCATCTCAGCTCACTGCAACCTCTTCCTCCTGGGTTCAAGTGATTCTCCTGCCTCAGCCTCCCAAGTAGCTGGGATTACAGGTGCCTGCCACCATGCCCAGCTAATTTTTGTATTTTTAGTAAGACGGGGTTTTGCCATGTTGGCCAGGCTGGTCTTGAATTCCTGACCTCAGGTGATCCACCTGCCTTGGCCTCCCAATGTGCTGAGAGTACAGGTGTGAGCCACCATGTCTGGCTGCAAGCTGTGTTTTAACAAATTCCAGGTGATTCTGATGCCACGAATGTGTGGGAAGTACTGTGCTATGGACTGGTGGGCAGTTGGATCCTTTGTTGATGGACTGAAACAATATACCAGCATGGAAAATCACTTTTTCCTTCCTCCTCCTTCTTGTTTCTGTCCCCTCTTCCTCTTTCTTTCCCCGAGACATGAAATCAACCTCTAACACATGTGGTTCCAAACCTGCTTAGATTCTCTGGATCACCTCAGAGAATAGAAATGTATTTCTAACACTGCTTCCACTTCAGAAAAAGACTAAATGACTAACAAGTGTTTGAAGAGAGGTTCAAAGACTATTAGTATGAATACATTGTCTGATAGTAATATCAGAGAATGTCAACCAAAACAATTGAGATGTGACTTTGCCATCATCAGAATAAAGTCAGAAAAGTGGACAAAACACCTTTCTGAGGGTAACCTCAGGGTTACCTTTCTGAGGGTAACCAAGGACTCTACTGAATTTGCAGGGAGAAGCACAAACTGGTAGACTGATTTTGGAAAGCAATCTGGCAAATCCGGTGCTATTCATTTTAAAAAATTAATTTAACATGCCAGGTATAGGGCTTACTGTGTTTTAGACACCGTTCTAGGCAATTTACAGATACCAAGTCAACCAATTACTTATTTGAGTACCCATGACTTAGAAACCAATGATCCTGCTCCTAGGAATGGATCCCGCAGAAAGTCTCCCACAGTCCCTAAAGGGACATGTGTAGAGTGTGGTGTTTATGGTAGAGGGAGCTGGAGGCCCCTTGGTGTCCATCAATGAGGGGACAGAAAAGTGAACTGTGGTGGGCCCCCTCTGGGATCCTACACAGTTTTGGAGTCGTCCAACCAGATACTGACAGCAACAAGGACAGAGCTGAAAAAAGTAAAATGCAGAATAGCATTCAAAATACAATACCACTTAGGAAAATTCAAAACACATATTGAAAACAATGCTCCATGATGTATAAGGATATATGCATACTGAAGACATGCAGCAAACACATGAGGGGAGGCGCCTATAGTGCATATGGTTTCTTTGTTTCTTTTACTTATTTACTTATATATTTATTTTTTTGAGATGGAGTCTCGCTCTGTCACCCAGGCTGGAGTACAATGGCGCGATCTCAGCTCACTGCAACCTCTGCCTCCCAGATTCAAGTGATTCCCCTGCCTCAGCCTCCTGAGTAGCTGGGATTATAGGTGCCTGCCATCATGCCTGGCTAATTTTTGTATTTTTAGCAGAGACAGGGTTTCTCCATGTTGGTCAGGCTGGTCTCAAACTCCTGACCTCAGGTCATCTGCCCACTTCGGCCTCCCGAAGTGTTGGGATTACAGGCATGAGCCACCGCGCCCGGCTACTTATTTTGAAACAGAGTCTCACTCTGTCACCAGACTGGAGTGCAATGGCATGATCTCGGCTCACTGCAACCTGCACCTTCCAGGTTCAAGCGATTCTCCTGCCTCAGCCTCCTGAGTAGCTGGGATTACAGGCACACGCCACCACACCTGCCTAATTTTTGTATTTTTAGTAGAGATGGGGTTTCACCATGTTGGCTAGGCTGGTCTTGAACTCCTGACCTTGTGATCTGCTCATCTCGGCCTGGAGGTGGAGCTTGCGGTGAGCCGAGATCGCACCACTGTATTCCAGCCTGGGCGACAGAGCGAGACTCCATCTCAAAAAAAAAAAAAAAAAAAAAAGGGAAGACCACACAATAGTTCTAACAGCCGCATCCCATGTGACACAGTGACAGGCCATTGTGGGCACCCCGGTGACTTGTTTTCTTCCTTTCCTCAGGGGTGGCACTCTGGAAGCCATTCAGTTCCCTTTGGACACACGTGCGTATGTGTGTGTGTGCGCCGGTGTGTGTGCATGTGTGTGCATGTGCAGCCATAGATCAGGGCCAGAGTGGCTGTGTGGGTGGAAATTCAGAAACATAGCCTTGTGTCTGTGTTGACATTTTTTTTTTTTTTTTTTTGAAGTCTTACTCTGTCTGCCCGGGCTGGAGTGCAGTAGTGTGGGTCTCGGCCCACTGCAACCTCCATTTCCCGGGTTCAGGCAATTCTCCTGCCTACCTCAGCCTCCCGAGTAGCTGGGACTATAGATGCGGCCCCACACACCCAGCTAATTTTTGGTATTTTAGTAGAGACAGCATTTCAACCATATTCGGTCAGGCTGGTCTTCGAACCTGACCTCGTGATCCGCCTGCCTTGGCCTCTGATTACAGTGCTGGGATTACAGGCATGAGCCACTGCACGCGGCTGACATTTTTTTTTTTTAAAGACAGGGTCTCATTCTGTCACTCAGGCTGGAGTGCAGTGGCGCCATCTCAGCTCACTGTAGCCTCAACTTCCTGGGCTCAAGCAATCCTCGCACCTCAGCCCCCCAGTTAGCTGGGACCGCTGGTGTGCGCCACCATGACTGGCTGATTTTTTTGTACTTTTTTGTAGAGATGATGTTTGCTGTGTTGACCAGGCTGGTCTCAAACTCTTTTTTTTTTTTTTTTTGAGACAGAGTCTCGCTCTGTCGCCCAGGCTGCAGTGCAGTGGCGCAATCTTGGCTCACTGCAAGCTCCGCCTCCCGGGTTCACGCCATTCTCCTGCCTCAGCCTCCTGAGTAGCTGGAAGTACAGGTGCCCGCCTCCACGCCAGGCTAATTTTTTTTTTTGTATTTTCGGTAGAGACGGGGTTTCACCGTGTTAGCCAGGATGGTCTCAATCTCCTGACCTTGTGATTCACCCACCTCAGCCTCCCAAAGTGCTGGGATTACAGGCATGAGCCACTGCTTCCAGCCGCTGGTCTCAAACTCTTGAGCTCAAGTGATTCACCTGCCTCAGCCTCCCAAAATGTTAGAATTACAGGCGTGAGCCACTGTGCCCTGCCGACTTTCTGTTTTGGAAGATTTCGCACATAGACAAAAGTAGAAAGAATAGTATCACAAACCCCCACCCTGTCTAATTCTGTTAGGGCTGCTATAATAAAAATACCATAGACTAGGCGGCTTAAACAACACATTTATTTCTTACAGTTCTGGAAACTGAAAGTCTAAGATCACCGCGCCAGCAGAACCAGTGTCTGGTGGGGGCCCCTTCCTGGTTCATAGATAACCGCCTTCTTGCTGTGTCCTCACGATGAAAAAAGGTGAGAAATATCACTGAGGCCTATTTAATAAGGACACTAATCCCATTCCTGAGAGTTCATCCCTCATGACCTCATCACCACCCCCAAGCCCCACTTCCTAACACCATCGCCTCGGAGGTGAGGATTTCAACATATGAATTTTAGGGGGACGAAAACACTGAGTCTTTAGCAGAACCCTACCCTTCTTTAGCGTTTATCAGCACATGGCCAGTTTGGGGTATCAACAGAAGACCATGGCTTGGAATAATAAAAATATCTTCCATTTGTATAGAATATTCAGTCTTGCACACGAACATCTTTTACGGATGGTGTTTCATTCAGTTCTCACAACAACCATGAAGGAGATGTTCTTCTTTCCATTTTAGAGATGAGAAGACTGAGGCCTCTGCCCATGGTTGATCCCGGTGCTGGCCTGGGTGTTGTGGCTTCCCAGCCAGCCCTCTCCTCCGTGTTCACTGAGAATGCCAGAGCTGTGTGTAGTGGTCATTAGCCCCACTCCCACTATGCGTGGGTGCAGAGGCCCAGGGCAAGCCCTCTCCCTTTCTGGGTCTTGCCTAAGGGACTCTGCCTCTAGATGACCCCAAGAGGTCCTTTCCTAGCCTGGAGTCCTGAGGTTCCTGCCGCTGTCTCCGTGAGTCCCGCCCTGCCCCTCCCGGAGCTCAGTGCCCTCCTCCCTGGTGTGTCCTACTTAACAGGAATGGAGCAGTTTAGAAACAACCTAGAAAACCGAGAGAGGCAGCCCACGCAGCCCCACGGCCCCTCTCCCGGGGCCCAGCGCTCGCTCTGGGTGACTGGTTGGGTTGTGACAAGCAGGGAGAGGGACCCTCACTTGTCCCCCGTTTCCACTCAGGGCTCACTGTAGCTGCGGGGTTCTGGGGATGGAGACCTGGTGGCTTACAAGATTCTCGGAGAGAAAACTATGAGATTCTGGAAACTCCCTCAGGGGACCCTACTCAGCTCCCAGCCAGCACTGAGACCAGGTTCCAGAAACAGATCTTTTCTTTTTTTAACCAGCTTTTTCCCCCCATAGTGACCCACTTTTGTTGTGGAGGCCCCCAGGCGCTGTGGCCACCTTCCTGAGTCTTTTTTCTGTAGGACGGGCTCCCTAAGGAGTCCTAGCTCCCTGCACTGTGTTTGGAAAGGCCCAGGCGGGGGCACAGAGTGCCTTTCAGGGGGAGGAGTGCCCCTCCCAGGGTCTCAGGGCCAAGAAACAAGTGTTCCAGGTTCCTGGAGCCACCATACAGCCCTCTGGTCTGGAGCCCTTGCTTGGTTTCTGAGACATAAATGGAAACTCAGTCCCTGAGTTCTCTGTCCATCTGCTGGGTGCCTTCGGGAGGTGGCAGGGGATGGGGAAAGGAGAGATGGACAAGGAGGTGATGGTGCCAGTCAGCGATACAAGAGCCGTTAACACAGGACCTAAGGATCGTTTCACATGTAGATATTGACCACTCCCTAAATATCCAGCCTCGGAGAATGCAGGCTTAGCTAGGTCTAGGTCTAGCAGGGAGCCCTTTGGGGGCAGCGTGGGAGTTGGAGGCTGCAGCCACAGGGGTACACATAGAGAATTCCTGTTTTGTGACTCGTGTGGACTGGGAAATATGGGATGCTCGACAAGGAACAGGGGCACGTTCCTGCTCTCAGGGACTTGCAGTTTAGTTGTTTATACATACACACACAAACACACACACACAAACACACACACACAAACACACACGCACCCAAACCCACCCCCCTAACCCCCCCCCACACACACACAGAGAGAGAGAGAGAGAGAGAGAGAGAGAAATCATTGAAGAACAATTAAGCACTTGAATTCTGTGGGTGTAACCAAGGCAGTCTGAGAAGAGATTAGTCTAGGTGGGAACACACTAATACTGTTCTACCGCAGAGGTGGTGTTTGCATCTTCTACTTTGCATATGAGCTGTGCAGGAGCAGCACCGGGAATGGGAACAGCATGAACAGAGAGGGTGGAAGTGCACATGAGCCTCGTTTGTTCAGAGGACTCTGAGGGAGATCCATCTGCCTGGGATGGCGTGGAGTCTAGAATACTTCATTCCACGTGTGTGGTGTTTGGCCATGGAAGGTAAAGGGAGGCCAGTGGAGTCAGGAAGCCTGGCAGACACTGGGTTGGGAATGCATCTTGGTTACTCCAGGCATTGGAGCTGGTTCTGAATGATCTTCTCAAGCCCAGAGGTGGAAGCAGGTGTAGGAGGGAGAACAGGGCACTGCAGAGGCCTCAACGGAACCAGCAGGGCCTCTTTCCCTGTTGCTGTGAACCAAAATGCCTCTTCCCAGCTCCTGTTCCACTTCCCATGCTTGCCAATCTATCCTTTCCCATGGAATAGGGATAATGATAGTTGTACCTTGGTGAGCTGATATTGTACCTTTGAGATTCAATGAGGAGGGATCTCACGTCTTAGTGACAGCGGCTCAACACTGGCCTTCTGATGCTCCTTGGTGCAAGCAGCCTGGGTGCCATGGAGGGTGGCAGCAGGCAAACAGGTTCCTGGGTGGAAGGGGCTGGGTACCCGGTGAGACCGCACCTTCAGGCTGCCAGTCCTGTGGACTGGAGGGGGAACTCGTGGTGCTTTTTCCTGGGCCCGCCCATGGCTGCCCATGAACAAATTGGCACACACTATCCTCCTCTGAGGCTGGTTCAGCCAGAGCAGGGGAGGCGACTGGAGGACCAGCTGCAGAGAGGAGCTACCCTCTCTGCTGATAGCTAGAGAATGTCAGAATGACCAGCAGTAGGGAGGAGCTTCCCACTCCAGGGATGACCTACCTGCAGCGGGTAACAACCCATCCCAGGGCCTCCTCTCTGCTAAGAGCTACAGAGACAACTGGATGACCTGCCAGCAGAGAAGAGCCACCCACCCCAGGCCTCCTCTCTGCTGAGGGCTGAACACTCATTGGGACAATCTGCCTGCAGAAAGGAGCTACCCACCATGGGTCTCTGAGCTGTTCTACTGCTCAATAAAGCTCGTCTTCGTCTTGCTCACCCTCCATGTGTCTGTGTACCTCATTCTCTCGTTGCAGGGTAAGAACTCGGGGCCTACCAAATGGCAAGGCAAGAAGAGCTGTAACACAAACAGGGCTGAAACGTGCCCCTTGTTCACCACGTTGTGGACAAAGAGAGGGAGAGAAGAGCTGTGGCCCTTCGGGGGGCCCAAACCTGGGAGCTCCCTAAGCCAGGGCTGTGACTCCTTTTTGAGGTCCTGTGATTCCTGGCATCTCTGAGCTTCCAGGTGCCACCACATTCCAGGCCGGCACTGGGGAAGCTGCTTGCGGTGTGCCTGGTCCAGCTGCAGCCTCACAGAGAACTGACGCCCGTGCCGGCACCTGGAGCTGCCCGCCCCACTGCAGCAGCCGGCATGCCTGACCGTGCACAGTGGCCGGACCCCACGATCGCTCACTCAAACACCCGTCCCCGCTCCACGCCTGGGTTGTTCTTGGCAGGTGTGGGATCCAGGCCGGTAGTGTGAGCTGAACACAGGCCGAGTGGGTGGAACAAGCTGAGCAGGCCTGAGAAAATGCTGGGCAAAGGTGCCACTGGCCACAGAGGTTTCCAGCCAGAAAAGCGACACCCCAGAGATCCTGTAACATTAGCATAAGGCCTGGCCCTCTGAGGAGTCTGGTGGCTGATTGCTGTTCTGTTGATGGAGCACCTTCTTTCTTCATCTGGTTGATGTCTTCGCTTCCTTGAAGCCCAGCACCACCACTGGCCCGGGACGGGGCCCCTCCGCACTCTGACTGGCCCTGGGGACGAAGCACGAACATGGCAGACCTTTCCCCCAGCGCATGGGGGCCTCCTCCCAGGGCCAGCGACTGTGGCTTCTTTAGCCTCTGTCTCCCGAGCACCTAATGCCTGGCTCGTAGGAGAGGCTCAGAACATTTCTGAAGGAATGAATGAATGCGTGAAAATGTGTAAGTGCTCTGCAAATTGGCAAGAATTCACAAAAGTTAGTTAATATGCTTCTCCAGAGACTGAGCCTTGGGCAAACACTTAATGAAATAAACAGGGCTGGATTTCAAGGTGAAGGCCAGATTGGAGCAAGGCTTGCGGGGATGGTTATGGGGGTGGGGGTGCACATCCTCCTACGTCCTCTTCTCAGCAGCCCCTCCACCAGCCCAGGGGCCCAGGATCTCCTGACTCCTCAGTCACACAGCCCGGTAGCAGCAGTGCTGTCGTCTTCTTTCTATGGGAAATTTGCTCCCCACAACCCCACTGAAATGGTGTTTCTTCCTGATTATAGCATCAATCATTGTAAAACACTCAAATTTCAAACAGCAAAGATTCAACACAGAAGGTTAAAAAAAAAAAATCCCTTCTCTGGTGGGGCGTGGTGGCTCTTGCCTGTAATCTCAGCACTTTGGAGGCTGAAGTGGGCGGATCACCTGAGGTCAGGCATTCGAGAGCAGCCCGGCCAACATGGTGAAACTCCGTCTCTACCAAAAAAATACAAAAATTACCTGGGTGTGGTTGTGTGCACCTGTTATCCCAGCTACTTGGGAGGCTGAGGTAGGAGAATCGCTTGAACATGGGAGGCAGAAGCTGCAGTGAGCCAAATTCATGCCGCTGCACTCCAGCCTGGGTGACAGAGAGAGACCCTATCTCTAAGTAAATAAATACATAAATAATCCCTTCTTATCCATCCCTGTGCCCCATGAGAGAGGCACTGTTTAGACTATGTCCTCCCAGATGTTTCTCCTAGTGCATTCACTAATTTGCTTACTTGCTTAATCCATCCATCAATTTATTTATTTATTTTACAAAGGCAGGACTCTGCTAAGCATAGCTCTGCCGTTTCCTTCTATCACCCGGCAACACAGAGTGGACAGTTATTTTAAAAATCTATATTGCACTCTTGTTAATGGCCATATAATGTTCTGTGCTATGCAGGAGGCATCACTTATGTGACCAGTCCTGGACTGATGGACATCTGAATTGTGCTAAATGGAAATTGCATTTTGCAGGAGGCCTGAGTGGCAAGGGCGATGGTTGGCTGGAAGAACCGTTCCTTAATGGTAGAGTTTCAGGCGTAACACTAAGCAGCATTTCTTTCCTTCTTTGCTCCACATCTTTCTTTTGGTGCTGCCTTTAACAAGATGGCAGCATGACTTATGCCTGAGCTCTGCCTTGTGTCCTACTCTCCTTTCCCAAAGGGGTGAGGGGACACCACAGGTCCCAGGCACACCCCATCCACCTCTCTTCCTGTATGGCATTGCCAGCCTGGTCTGCCTGTCTTCCCTTGCAGGGATCTGGCAGCCCCAGCCTGGCTCAGAGATCCTTATTTGCTCAGCTTGGGAATTTGGCAGTGGAAGATCTTGACACATGCCGGGGCTTTGGGGAGGGCCTGGGTAAAGGCACACAGTGAAGATGAGGACAAGATGAGGTGAGGGAAGTGGGCGGGTTGCAGGAGTAACAGTGACTAGGGCAGCAGGTTATTCTGTCCCAGGAGATGGGGAGCCAGAGATGACAGTCGCTGCTGTTTGTTATGGCACTTGGGAAATTTGATGATGCAAACAAGACCTCATCCTCTGGTGACTATGAATATTCATTAGAAGCTCTTCTCTGAGCAGCTGGGAATTCCTCCAGGCTTGCTAATGAACTTCTTCCTTCAGTCCAGGAGGGCTGGGAGGCAAAGGATGGGCTGTGTTTCTTCTTCATCCTGCCTTTCCTCCCTCTCACCCTCCTCTTACCCCCGCTGACCTCAGGAGTATGGCGGAGGTAGAGCCAGGAGGGCAAGGCCTGGGGTCTATATTTGATCCCGAATTTGCAGGTTTTGCATCTGACCTTTTTGGAGCTTGAATTCCTCTCTATGTCCTTCTCCCCAGTGAAAATCCATGACCAAGGCTACTTCTAAAAAAGAGCCTGAGAGAGGAGCATAGGGAGCTGGATGCAAAGGTGGAGATGGTTTAGAATAGGTGGGGAAACTGAGGCTAAGAGCAGAATTAGCTTGCCTGAGTCATGTAGCAATTAAGCAACACAATTGGAGTTGAACCCAGGCATCTGAATCAGAGTCCTCACATCTTAGCTCCCTGTTCACCCCTGAAACCAGATTTGACCATTGGCTGTACCCCCAGTGAAATCCCATTGTGTACTCTTTGTGTATCTGGGCCTAAGCCACCTCGTCCATGAGGCCTGCCCTCTGCACCGCAACCACCTCTGCTTCCCGGACTCTGCAGTTCCTCTAGGCTAAAACACTCAGCACTTGGCACAGATGTCCTGGCTGGGTCGTTTATCTTTATAGGGGGCACCTGTTTCTGAAGCTGAGGGTGGGGCCCGTGTCTTATATCTTCAGCCAGAAGTGTGGGGACCTACTTTCCAATCCCAAATCAGGACATGAGGCCTGGTGACTATGACCATTTTGTAGGAACCACAGGAAACAATGTGTGAATCAGGACTGTCCAGATTAGGATAGCCAGGAAAAAATACGTGTGCATGGACTGAATCGCAGACGAAGACTGAAAGAAGAAAGGAGTCTCAGAGTTTATCTCTAGGCCAATGCATTTCAGCTTTTTTTTTTTTAGACGAAGTTCCGCTTTTGTCAACCAGGCTAGAGTGCAATGGCGCGATTTTGGCTCACTGCAACCTCCACCTCCCGGATTCAAGTGATTCTCCTACTTCAGCCTCCCGAGTAGCTGGGATTACAGGTATGTACCACCACATCCAGCTAATTTTTGTATTTTTAGTAGAGACGGGTTTTCACCATGTTGGCCAGGATGGTCTTGATCTCTTGACCTTGTGATCTGCCCGCCTTGGCCTCCCAAAGTGCTGGGATTACAGGCGTGAGCCACTGCGTCTGGCCTTTTTTTTTTTTTTTTTTTAAACAACCACCAAACCTTTTTCCCAAGTGCAATCTTACTGGAAGCCTGACAGATAAAACAGACAACAGTCAGGCTGCTCAGGTGCAGAGATGAGGGGCCTGGAGTCCCTCCTGCTTCCTCCTCAGCAGCAACTTCTGACCAGGTTGGTTTCAAAACCATGATCTCTCCACCTCACTGGTTACACAGATTTAAAAAAACCCTGAGGCTCAGAGAGGTAAAGGATTTACTGAAAGTCACACAGCTCCGTATAACAGAGTGGAATTAGAAACTGGTTCTCAATTGTCCTGCCAGGGGCTCTGCCCAGCATGGACCCTGAGTCTTTGAGGTGTCCTGGTCTAAAATCTGGGGGTCAGCCAGACAAGTGGGTCTCCATTCCCCTCCATCAGCCCTTGACAGTTGAGGCCTTTTTGATGCTGTTGAGTTTGGAAAGATTGGCATGGGAGAGGAGGTGGGTTTAGAAGGAGCTAGGAGTGCAGAGAGAAAGAGAGAAAACTGTTCCAAGTGGAATTTGATTTGGATAACAGTGCTTAGCATGGGGGTCTCATTTGGTTCAGGATGAGGGGTGGGGAGAGGCAGGGAGGATACTGCTGCTGCTTTATCTCATTGAGGGAGGGGAGGGAATTGAGAATGTTCAGGGAGTGTAAGCCTAGTCCTGTGCCTCTGCAGACTTTATCAGGGCTCTTAGTGCAGCTGCAGCCTGTGGGACCAGCCTGTCTTGTGGCTCCTGCCATTATGTTCTTAGCAAGTGCCCTGGACATTTCTAGCCCTGATGGCTGCTGGCCCTCCTGGTCCCACTTAGCTGCTCTTCTCCCCTCCCTGTGCTTTCCATGGCTTCTTCCTGGTTCAGGGCCTTTGGAGCCCTTCCTGGCTGCTTCCCCTCTTCCAGGGCTTGTAGAGAATTCCATCCGAAGCTCCTTTATGTGGCACTCAGGGACAAAAATAAGTAAACAGGAGGATGTGGAATAAAAGAGGAGGAAGGGCAAATATTGTCTCTCAGGGGAGGATTTTCATTCATCTCTAGCTATGCCTCTGGGGTTTGCCAAGACTCAAGAGAGCAGGCAGGGTTTGGTCGGCTGGGACTCATCAGCTGGTGGCTAATTGTCTTCCCTGGAGTGGTGCCCAAACCCCACTCTGCAGACTGCCATGGCCTTTCCAAGCCACCTCTGCCTTCTCAGTTGGAGATGTTGTATTCTTCTATCATCCATCCATCCATCCATCCATCCATCCATCCCTGCATCCACTCATCCATCCCTCCATCCATTCATCCATCCATGCATGCATCCAGTAAATGGTTCTTAGGAGTGCCTACCAGAACCAAGCACGGTGCTAGGTGCTGGACACACAGAGATAAGAAGGCATCAGGAAACTCACTGCTCAAGAAATGGTGAATGGGTAATAGCAGCTATAATACAAAGCACAACAGGGATTTTGAGTTAGTTCTAGATTGGATTTATGCCTCCACCCCTCATTTGATCGTTAACGGTGTGATCGTGTGTGAATTACTTAACCTCTCCGAGCCAGGACCCTCAAGGAAGGCCTCCCAGAATACTGACACCTGAGAGAGGCACTGAGGCAAGAGGGGTTCCGCTGAGCCAGGATGGGAGAGTGCAGGGTGTCGCCCACAGAAAGGAGTGGAGCTTGGTTAGGGATGTGTGGGAGCACTAGTGAGGGGCAGAATGGAGAGGCTGGGGGCTGGGGCCAGGTGGGGAGGGCATTGACTACCAGGCCAGGAAGGAGTTAGTTCAGGAGACCAGGAGGGTTTTTGAGCAGGAGAGTGAGACGCAGCTCCTTGGGTCCCAGGGCAGAGCTAGCCTTCCAGTCCCTTGGTGCCTAAGCCACGAGCTTCCTCTCAGAACCATAAATCAGGATCTGATGATGAGATTCCTAGGGGAGGACCCGCTCAGTGTCAGGACTAGCTAGGTGACCTTGGTGAATCACTTTGCTTCTTTGGGTCTCAGGGTCATTATCAGGTAAAAATAGAAACTTGAATGCAGTCCTCCCTCCAGCATTGGGTTCCGTCACTAGCATCTCTTCTGCAGTCTCTTTGTGCCTGCGTCTTTCTGCCTGTCCTCCTTCCTGCTTTGTCTATTCATGGCCTGTGAGCAGGGTGGAGAAGCCGATTTGCTTTTGCTCCCTGTTGTACCAGGGTGGGGTGGATCAGCACCTCCTTCCTGGGCACTGAGTTTCCCAGCTTTGCTGTTAGGCAGCTACTGCCCGTGAAGGTGAAACAGCTCTCACCTCCCTTCAGGGCTCCTGGGCACAGCTATCTATGAGCTGACGCTGGCACTTCCTCTCACCTCCCCAGGGCACTGGGGAGGCAGTGGGCAGGACAGCAGGCCTGGCTGGGTCAGAGAGTGCACAGCATTCACCCAGGTGGGTGATGTCCCAGCCTGAAGCCCCTCTGAACCCTG